GCTCTGCAGGGGTGAAGCAGCCTGCGCCTGTCCTGGGCCTCCCCACTGTGTCCTGGCTGCCCCCCTCAAGGACTTAGTGCTCTAGGGCTCCTACTAGCCCCTGCCTCGTCACTCGGCCCTCTCCCGCAGATCCTCCTACCCACCTGTGAAGATGAAACAGTGCCCGTTTTACCCAGGACCCCAGGCCTGCACCCCTGCCGCTGCCACCTGCGCCTTTGCCTCTCTTTAACTCTCATTTCCTCAAAGGATTTACCCCGCCTTTGTCTTCACCTCCTCAGCACCCTGTACCCTTCCTTCTCATTGGCTCTGGTCAGGGTCCCCCTTGGCCCCCATCTTGTCAGATTGGCTGTTCACTCTGGGTCCTCATTGTCCTTGGCCTGACATGCTGGTCCCCCTCCTCCTGATAACACCCTCATGCTTGGCTTCCAGGAGCCCCACTGCCCGAGTCTCACCCGCCTGCCTTCTCGGTCCCCTCCGCCTGCTCTCCCTCACCTCCTTAGCAATGGAGGGTGAGTCCCTGGCTCAGGCTGGGGCCCTCCCTGCTTCCGTAATTCTCCCTTCATGGTGACTTGGTCCAGTGTCATGGCTCTCAATACCCATACTAAGGTCTTCACCCTGGACCTTGGCCCTGAACCCCAGGCTCCTGTGTCCAGCCACACAGGGGTTGACCCATCCACTCAGGGTTGAACAGTCCTCTTTAACCAGCATGGCCATATAGAATTCTAGATTTTTCCCCTTCTTCAAATCTTCCATCCTTTGAGACTTCCACACCTTTCCAGGCCCAGGGTCATCCTTGATTGCTGTCTTACTCATCCCTGAGCAAGACCTCTTGGCTGTACCTCCTAAACCCATCCAGAACCTGCCCACCTCTTCCACTTCCATGCCCCTAGCCTGGTCCGGCCTCCACCCTTACTCTTACAGTGTGACCCCCCCACAGCAGCTGGAGAGAGTCTGTTCACAATTGGCAATTAGGTCCCATCACATCCTAGTTTATCCCAGATGATTCCAAAGCAGGTGGTCCTAGGGGCACTCTTTGAGAAATGCAGGTCTGGGCTTTCTCAGCTCCCTTCCACCCCTTAAAAGAGGGCTTTAAAAGCTCCACACACCCTGTGCCCCTGCTAATAAATGCTAAGTCCCCCAACTCTGGCCTGCCAGTCCTCTCCATCCCCCATACATCTGCTCCAGCCCCACCAGCCTTCCTGTGGCTCCACAGACCCACCAGGCTCAGTGCTGCCTCCTGGCCTTTGCACTTGCAGTGCCCTGTGCCTGGAGCACTCCCATCCCAGACCTTCCAGTGGCTCATCCCTTGATTCCTTCTGGTCTTGCTCAGATGCTACCTGCCTGACTGTTGCACCTCTCCAGCTCCCCCACAGCTCACTCTGTCTCCTGACTTTGCTTTATTCTGCTTAACATTTATTACTACTTGAAGTTATGATGAGGATGATGGTGGTGGTGGTGGTGGTGGTGGTGGTGATGATGATATCTATCTCCATATCCACGAGGGCAGGGCTCTCTCCCCTGAGTCTTTGTGGAATGACTGGTGAATGCCAGCCTGACCCAGCATAGCCGTCCCGTCCTGCAGCCCCCCGGGTGGCTGAGAGCAAGCAGGAGGCCTTGCCTGTCCCCACTAAAGAGCTCTACCTGGCCCCCATGGTGTCTGATTGACCCTGGTCCTCCTCCTGGGGGTGGGTCTTTCCTGTCTCAGGGTCTGGGGTCCCCAGAGTGAGGGTCTGGAGTTGGCACATGGCTCCAGACCCCAGAACACCCCAAGTCCTTCCACTCTTTGCCTCAGTTTCTCTAGCTCTTCCCAACATTCCCCCAGGGAGGCGGCCCCAGTGCTTAGAGGTCAAGCCCGCAGTGTGGTCTTTGGGACAGACAGACCCAGGCCAGACTCCCACTAGCTGTGGATTTGGGGGAGGTGGCCTTTGTCCCCTCCGTCTTGGTGGCATGCTATGGGGCACTCCACACCTGTGATGACAGGCTGCAGGGAACCGCCTGTCAATGTGACTCTCCCGTAGATGTGACTGTCCCAGGCTCACTTCTTTGGTCTGGCAGTGGCTTAGTCATCTTTCATGGTGGTCCTGGGAATTTCATTTCCCTGCTACTCCTGGAGCTAATCAGGAGCGAGCCTTTCCCCAGAAGGGTCACTGGGCAATGCTTCCTTGATTTGTTCTGAGGAAGAGGAGGTTGTATTGCGCCCTTCCCCACCCCATGCAGTGATTTCCAGGCGTTCCTCGTTGACCTTCTCCCAGTTTAGTGTCTTCTCTCATCTAAGGGCAGCCTGGACCACGTGAGCCGGTCCCTGGGGGAGGGGGGTGACTGACACTAGTGGAGGCTGCCTGCTGCAGGCACCTGGGATTCCTCTAGCGCTAGGAGCAATCAGAGCTGGCCAGGGACCCAAGGAGTCGGGCCAGGGGGAGGGAGGGAGGGAGGTGCCCTGGACCCAGAGCTGGAGCCGGTTGGAAGTGAGCGGAGAGCAAGACCAGCAGCAGCTCTTCCAGCCCCCGTCCTGGCGCGCTCTGCCCTGAGGTGACTTTGGAGGTGATGGGAAGGAAGCTCATGTTTCCTAGTCAGAAACAACACTCTAGATCCATAAATCCCTCTCTCTCGCCTGAAACCCAAGGCAGAAGGAGGGTGCTGCAGGCCCTGGCAGCCACTCCCGGGAAGGCGAAGCTTAGCCTGCCTGCAGGGGCTAGGGCAGCCTGAGCGCAGGACCATGTCCAGCATCTCCCCCCTGCTTCTCTCTCACTTGGGGTTCTTGGGAGTCCAAGAAGACACGTGTCCAGAGTAGGGAGATGGAGGGTGTTTGTCAGCACCCCCATCTGTACAATCCGAGGTTGGAGCAGGCAAGGGACACAAGACTTCAGGGGCAACAGGGTCCCAGCGGCCCCTCCAAGAGCCCCTGACTGAAATTATCCCCCCAGAGCCAAGGGACAGGAGGTGGAGAGCCAGATGGCTCCGTCTATCCGTGGGGAAGAGGGACTGACCGGCCAGCAGGGGATGTCAGGGGCCTGCCCGGCTCAGAGCCCAGTCTCTCGGGCCTCCCTCTGTCTTTCCTGGCATCTGAGGCATGAGGTCTAGATGGGGAAGTCCGGCCCACAGAGGAAGGGGCAGCCCACTCGCCAGAGACGCTGTCAGATTCAGGGACAGGAAATCAGCCACCGCTTCCTGACTAGAGAGCTGAGACAGTGGGGTGTCCTTGGCCTCCTGCACATGCACAAACAGATGCAGACACTAGCAGACTCCATGCCCCCCCCTTCCTCACCCAGCTTCCCCTCTAAAACACAGTGAGGGCGAGACAGTGGCGAGGGGCCCTGCCTGGACCACAGCAGTCAGGGTCGCACACACAGGAAGCCCCTCGTCCGCAAGAGAGACTTACCTGCTCATCCTGTTGTGCCTTCCTGGCCTGGCAGGCATGAGGGTCCTAGCTTTGAGGACCACCCCAGATGCAGGAGACAGGCCAGACTGCTTCTTGCCACTGATGCCTGATTTCAGCAGGTCTCCAGGGTCCCGCCCACAGATCAATCCCTACTTGCTGCCCACCCTGAGCCAGACAGAACCCTCCACTGGCCCCCTCAGTCAGGCACTGTCCCTCGGGCTGGGCCTAGCTCCTTGTGCCCCACAGACACCCAGGTGTACAGGGCCCCTCACGTGACTCAGGACTGTCTCGGGTTTCTCCCAGAGGGGCTGGCTCAGTGAGGGCCTCCTCCCTCGCAGCTCAGGGGAGCCTAAAGAGGATGTGATGGAAGATTCCAGCAAAATATAGGAATTGGTGCCTCCTAGAACTGGCTGCACAGGCAGCTGGACGAGCAGGCCTGGGATTGTCCTCACATGTTGCCACAGAGAGACTTCCCCTGACACCTCCTCCCACATCTGGCAACCCCTGCCCCAGCACACACACTCATGTGCTCTGCTCGGACTTGGTCCTTGCAGTCCTTGCATCCATCTGGGGCAGCATTCTGGCCCTGGCCATGTCCCTCTCCTTGTGTCCCCCACACAGCCGATACCCAGCTCCCCCCTTGAAGGTTGGACCCCACCTTAGGGTGCTCTGGACCCAGAGGTATCCGTGTAGACACCCAGCTTACTTTTCATCCTGTGCCCATGTGCCCAACTCGGCACACCACTGCCCGCAGGGGCTCAGCCCAGGCAGGGCCAGAGATTCTGGGTTCCACATGTGGTGTGAGATTCCCATGAGCACAGAGGAGGCCTGTGACCCAGCCTGACAGTTTCCAGCTGGGTGATTTGGGCAAGTTACTTCCTCTCTCCCAGTCTCTGCTGCCTTATCTGAAAATGGGTAATAAAAGCCCTCACAGTCTCCAGCTGCCCAGAAAGAGCCTAGTGCAGCACCTGGTGCATCAGAAGCCTTATGAGTGCCCAATACTGTCACTTCTGTCCCTCTTAGCCTATGGCCCTTCAGTCCTGCAGGGGTTGGATAACCTCTCTGTATCCCCCAGGTGAGTCCCACCAGGAAGGTGGGCCTGCGGCCTTGGCTCCTTCTGGTATCATGGTGTGGGGAGGGAGGACAGGTGCACTCAGCCCCCACTCAGCCTCCAGAACTACTGGGGGATAGGCCAGGTAACATGGAGAGGATGGGACAGATGATATCGCAGGTGTGGTGGGGGTCTCCTGGCCAGTGCCTCTTGGGGACACTCTCCCCTCTCCCCCGCAGCGCCCCTGTTAATCACTCAGCAAGATGTGCATGAAATTTGACCTACGCCTGCCTGATAGCATCTCCGGGTACCAGCCTCCTTCCTCACCCCTAGCTCTGCCCCTGCCCCGTGCAGGGCGCAGCCTGATGGGAGGGGAGTGTTTATCCAAGTGGGCAGGCAGGAGCTCTACATCAACTGGGGGGATTAGCTCCCCAAGGTTGTGGGTATAAAGCTGCCTGCATGCCCTGTGGTCCCTACAGAGGCAGGCAAGGAGTGAGGACGGCCAGGCAGGCACCCCTGGACAGACAGATAGACAGACAGAGAGGGAGGGGTAGCAGGCGGGGGGGCACCATGTTCTACGATTGCCTCTTCTCGGCTGCCTGTCAGCGTGAGTACCTGTCCCCACAGCTCCAAGCCCCTTGTTGCCCCTCCCTCCCCCCACTGAGGGCAGGGAGACTGGGAGGAGCCACTTGGCTACAGGCCAGTGAGGCCTTCTGGGGACCACTCTTCTGACCAGCTTTCTTGCCTGGGAAGCCAGAGGTTGGCCCAGGGAAGGTGGCCTCAGTGCCTTGGTCCTCCCAGAGCTGCCAGGACCTTGGAGGGCTGTCAATTTACAAATCCTGTCTGTCAGGAAAAGGGGTCCAGCCGTCTGGGCCTCTGTGGCATCATGACCTCTCAGTCACCCCTTCTGGTCCTGCTGTAAGACAAGGAGGGTTGGGGGGCTTCTTCCAGATGTTAAGGATCCTGCTGGTCTTCTTAGCCCCCACCCCACCCTGCCATGTGGACCCCTGCCGGTGTGGTCAGGGCTGGCCAGGGGGCAGGCAAGACTCTTGGAGAGGCCTGGCCTTGCTGGGGGTTGGCTTCAGGCTGTATCTTCCCCTCCAGACAGGCTCAAGCTCAGGGTGGGGGTGGGGGCAGTAGGCAGAGCTGACCCAGTGACCTCTCCCCACAGAAGGTGCCATGCGGGCAAGCGAGACCGTGTCAGAGGCCAGTCCGGGCTCCACAGCCAGCCAGACCAGCGTCCCCACCCAAGTGGTTCAGCAGGTGCAGGGCACCCAGCAGGTAGGACACAGCCCCCCGCGGGGGGCGGGGGCAGTGCTTCCCCTCCCCGCCTTCCTGCCAGAGCCATCTGCTCACCTGTTCTTATCAAGATGTGCACTTCAGCTGCCCTCCACCCACCCAGGCCCAGCCTCCCTGGGGCGGCCAGATTGGCTCAGCTCCTTCTGCCTTGCCCCCGCAGCGACTGCTGGTCCAGACGAGCGTGCAGGCCAAGGCGGGCCACGTGTCACCCCTCCAGCTCACCAACATCCAGGTGCCCCAGCAGGTAAGGCCACCGCACCCAGCCCTGACCCTTGCAGCCTCCCCCGGGTGGAGGACCAGATCACGTGGCTGGCTTGGATCTGCCCTCGCCAGGTTCAAGGACACAGGCTCCTTACTCCCCATCTAGGAGCTGCCCCACCTCCTGGCTGTGGGTGGCCACCTCCACAGGGTGAGACCATATCAGTCAGGGAGGGAGTCATCTTAATAGAGAGCCTGGGGATTGGTGAGGATTGGTAGTCAAGAAGGCAGTTAGTGGGTCCAGCCATGATGCCTCAAAACAGCGAGCCCAAGGCCGGATTTGGAGCCAAAAGCCCGTAGCCAGCACAGGGTGGTCTGTCCCCCAGGATCGAACAGCGTTGAATTGGATAAAGTGCTGTCGAGTTTTAAGGATGAGAGCACATTCCACATGGCCTGTGGAGACAGGCTCCTGAGACACAAACTCTGTCACTTCCAGGACCAGGAAAGCAAGCGCTTTGGTGTTTTGAGCCTCAGTGTCACCCTCTGTGAAGTGGGGGCAGTAACTGTGCCACATTAGGGCTGTCAGGGCAACTCCATGAACTAGCAGGCATGAGTCATGCAGAACACCGCCTGTACTGCACAGGCGCTCTGTAAAACTGCACGGGCTGTCCTCAGTGATCTGTCCTCCCTGTCGCTCCAGGCTCTCCCCACACAGCGTCTGGTGGTGCAGAGCACAGCTCCAGGTGGCAAGGGCGGCCAGGTCTCCCTGACAGTCCATGGGACCCAGCAGGTGCACTCGCCCCCTGAGGTAGGTGGTGGCCCTGTCGGCCATCCTCCCCAGTTCTTGCTCCCCTGATCAGCCATGTACCACCCTAGTATACTTGGGGCTCTCTGCTCCCTGGGTCCTCTCCTCCAAAGTCCCCCTGCCCTCCCTACCCCCAGCCCTGATTCCCTTGTTGACCAGATGTTTGCCCACTGATTTCTGGCCCCATGGCTCTGAGCTGAGCAGCCGGGCATCCCTGCTCCAGGAGGAGGAGGTGGCCTCTTCCCTGGGTTGAGGTGACCCTCACAATTCTAGCTCAGGGAGCTGTATCCCAGGAAACTGAGGGGGCTCCTCTTCCCTCTGCAGGGTGGGTAGTCTCTTCCAGGAAGCCTTGGACCACAGGGTGGATTTTGGGGACCCACAAACACCAACCAGGGTGTGGAGGCAGGCAGGCTCTAGATGGCCTGGAGCATAGGCATCAAGATCCGGAGCTCCTGATCAGATGCCCACCTCAGCCATTCACTCATCTGGGACTCTGGGCAGGCCTTGGAGCCTTCTGAGCCCAGAGTTTTGTAGGTGTAAAACAATGGGATCAATCGCTTCAGCTCACTGTGAAAATTCCAGCCCAAGGTGCAGCATGACCCAGAATTAACACAGGGACTCTTGCCAGTGCGCCTGGAGTCAGTGCTGTGTTCCATCACTCACAGCTGTGTGGCCCTGGGCATGTCCCTTCCCTGTTTGCCTCAATTGGGAGGTGGGGATGCTCTGGGGTCCAGTGAGTAACATAAAGCGCTCAGAGTAGCCCCTGGTGGAAGGGAGCCCAGCATCACGTTAGATGCTGTTGTCGTCATTACTGTAAGCTTTCAGAACCAACCCCAGGAGAACCTCAGAGGTGCTGGGCACCACCTACCATCTCGGAGCCACCCCCAGGGCCCAGCCCAAGCTTCTCTCACCTCACCTTCCTCATCTCAGGGCTGCAGCCCCTCTGATTATAGAGACAGCAGGTGGCCCCCAAGCCGAGACTGCAGTCCCAGCTGTCCTTGCTGGGGAGAATGGCCCCCCCAGCAGCATCTGTGGGCTGCACCCTCAGCCTTGGAGGGGGGTGACCAGGCTATTGCAGGCATTTGGATGCTTGGGATACGGCCTGTTACCAGCCTAGGTGATTAGGACACGTCCCCACTGGCTGCTGCCCTCCCCAAACAGCCCTCCAAAGAAGGGTGGTTTGCTAGGGCCAGGGTGCCCAAGAGAGGACCCAAGTTGGTTCCAACAAGGCTCCCGCATTTCCTTCCCTTGCAGCGATCACCAGTGCAGGCCAACAGCTCCTCCAGCAAGACGGCTGGGGCTCCCACGGGCACGGTGCCGCAGCAGCTGCAGGTCCATGGCGTCCAGCAGAGTGTCCCCGTCACCCAAGAGGTGCCAGGCCAAGGCGGGCAGTGGCTGGGGCAAGGGGCAGCTTGTGCAGCCTCCTGTGGCTGTGCCTCTGAGCCAAGCACATGGGAGTTCAGCCCCAGCCTGCCACCTGCACCTTTGGAAAGCACCTCTGCATCTCTCCAGACTCAGCATCCTCTGGGGTAGTGGGGGCTGATATGAGGACAAAATTCAGACTCTGTGGAAGGTGCCTAACACACAGCAGTTTCTGGGAACAGATTTGAGAAACCTTTCTTAGCCCCTGGGCGCATTTGCCTGGAGGAAAATCCAAAGCCAAGTCTCAGCTTGTCCATAAGGGTCATAGGGAAGGGCTCCAGCCTCCAAATCCACAGCCAGCCTTCTGGAGGAGGCTGAGCTCTGAGCCGCCAGCTCCAGCAGCCAGAGCAGGTTAAGAGGCTGGAGCTGTCTGCCATCTGGTTGTTGCTACTGAAGTTGAGGGGCTCCCAGCCCCTTGAAAAACCAGGTGAAAGCCATAGACCCTTCCGCAGATGAAAACAGAAACCCCATCCCAAAGGATTCACATGTATTACCTTGTGCTGCACCAGAGCCCCTCTGAACCTCCAGACCTGGGTTCAAGTGCTGGCCCCACCACTCAGCAGCCCCCCTCCACCCCAGCCTCTCTCTCTCACATTGTGCCCTGAGGGTAATACCAGCATCCTGCAACAGCACTGCAGTGAGGACAGTGGAAGGCGGGGAGCAAGAGATCATCCACCGTTCTTAGCACACTTGTGGGGGGCCTGTAGGGAGAAGGGGTGGGTAGCAGAGACCTCCTTAGTCAGTCACAGGTTCAACCCTCAGCTCTGCCACTTCCTGGCAATCTCACCTGGCCCAGCTCCGGTTCTCGCATCTGTAAGTGGTGCCGGATGTCAACAAGATAATGAACTTAGAAGGTGCTTGGTACTGGGCTGGCAGCGAAAAGCCGCTCTTCCTTTTGGTTGGAAAGTGGCGGCCTCTTTTTCACAGGGCTGCCATGCGGCTTACAGAAGTTCACCTGTGAAGGGGGGGGGGCGCTTACAGCCAGACTGGGTGGGCGCCATCATTGCCATGGTTACCATAGCCCCACTTGCTTTTCCCTCCCCAGAGGTCTGTGGTCCAGGCCACTCCACAGGCGCCCAAAGCTGGCCCGGTGCAGCAGCTGACCGTGCAGGGGCTCCAGCCAGTCCACGTGGCTCAAGAGGTGTGTGTCTCCCCTACCTACCGCAGGGGCAAACTGGGGCTGGTCCCGGGCTGGGAGTGCAGGCCCCCGAGGCCGCAGGGAGGGAATGGAGCCACCCAGGCGGCCCTCAGGGGCGAGGCAGTTGGAGCCTTTAGGGCTCCGAGCCCCCTTCTGGCCCCACCTCTAGCAGTGGGCTGCACATCTGCCTGCCCTGGATCCTCCCCCTTCCCAGCACCTGGCAGCTCAGGGCCCAGGTTTTGCTGAGAGAGAGATCTGGATTCCAATCCCGCTGCTTTCTTGCGTGGCCCGGGATCAGTTCCTCCCCTCCCCGAGCCACCGGGTGGGATCTTCGGCGGGTTGCTGCGTGCGCTCAGCAACCTGGTGGGCGGCGGAGGCCTGGAGCCCCGCCCCCGGTGACCCCCCAGTATCTCTGTTTGTCCTCCAGAGCTCAGGCAGTCAGTTTCTCGCTAGGAAGGCAGAGCAGCAGGAGCCCCGGCCCACGCCGCCGCCGGAGCCGCCGCCCCGGCCGCCCACGCCCGG